ACCAGGTACCACAGCTAGCTCCACTGTTTCTCTTTTTTTTTGACAACATTAACCGGAAAATGTTCAGATACTTGAACAGTCTCACTAGCGATTTACTGGCGCTGGACGAACACAACAGAATCCAGCTGGCAGATGCGGACAAATTCCGGATCGCGAATGAATTGGTTTTTACAGAAATCGACCGCGTTTGGGGACTGGTCTGTGCAGAGGTACATCGCAGTGGGGGCCTAAAGTTCATGCGCTGTGCATACGAGGTCAATTCTCCTTTATCTCCATCGCTAACTCCTCAAATTGACAAGGAATCTTATTTCTATCGCTAATCCCTCAAGTTGGCAAAAAAAATTTGCATATTTCTTGCACGTCACTTCTTACAGGTACCAACGACACCACCGATCACGATGGAAGAAAAGGTCCCGATTCCAACACAGCCCGGATGCAAATTTATTGGACGCATTCTCGGGCCACGTGGAATGACCGTGAAACAGCTCGAAACACGGACTGGATGCCGCATATCGATTCGTGGCAAGGGCTCCGTCAAAGTACGGCGCTGGTTTCCGATAAAGCAACAACTCATTTGCTGGAATTCACATTTTAATGTAGAATTTCTGGAGGCACAGCTGGAAAAGTAGAAAGGGATTAAAACCAGTCGGACAATCAGTGTGGACATCCCATGTTAGTGATGTGACTAGGATACTCCTATGCGCTGGACAAAGCTATGTCAGTTTTTTGAAGAGAACTTTAAATATAAATTTCAGATCAAAAAAATAACAGCCATCAAACTGCAAGAAACATCGGAAGTCAAAAGTCAAAACCTCCCCCAGCAAACACTATTTCAGAGAAGCAGAGGCACTTAGAAGTCACCACAGTGGCAGCACATGCCAAGAGCAACCAAACGCTGGCAAGGCTTTCGATGATTCCCTTTTGAAAGAGTACTTTTTAGTGCCTTTCTCTCTCAAAGAAGGCGAACAGGGGAGAAGTTTCGATGACTTTTAACACATTTAGCATGCTGTTCAAAAAGTCTTTTTCTTCTGCTTTCTACAGAACACACCAGTACATTTCAGGATCCACAGCGAGAAGAACGTCTTCGGAATCGTCCTGGATGGGAGCATCTCATGGAGCCGCTGCACGTACTAATTACTGCCACCGATTATTCGCGCGAGCATTGTGGCCATAAGCTTGCGTGCGGCGTACGTTCCATCAAGGCCTTGCTTACCAACACGGACGACGAATTCAAGCGGCATCAGCTTGTGCAACTGGCCATCATAAATGGTACCTACCGCCCGTCAGGAAGATAAGAAAGCGAGCCCAGTTCCTCTTCTGTCCAGCTTAACTTTTCAGGAGTCGATAACCGCTGAATTCTGAAGCCTAATTTTGTGATCTCGTCATCTCATCCCTCGATTTTTATTGTAAAATATCACCTATATATCAATAGCCCCCAAAAAATTGGTATTTTCTCTGCTATGGATCACAAATAAATAAAAATGAGGAATTTTCTTTGTGTTCGACAAAATACAAGAAAATAGTCTTGGCGCCACACACATAAACATATACACCTGCACACACACAATTGCCAAATTGCCTAAAAATACAGTTTTATCACTGACGATATCAAGCGCTGATACAGAGATGCAACCAATAAAGTATGCTCGTGATGGAGCTAACATGCAACGGAGTATGCTTGTATACGACTGCACTGTGTAGCTGAATCA